AAGCACTCACATTATTTTGATTCCAGGAATCTCATTCAGTCCTTACTGGGTACGACACCTTCGGCTAGTGCTGTGAAGAGTAAAAAGAAGGACAGTCGTGGGCCTGCCTTCCTCTCTGTGCACTTATAGTACTCTGGGAAAGACAGCTCTGTTGTCATATTGTCAGCGGGCCTCCAGTCAGTAACATAGGACACTGTGTACGCACATTCTTTCACTCAGGAAGATAGTAGAAATTTAGGGATGAAATATAATAAACACGGGGTAGTGACCATGAGGGGCTAATGACAGACGGAAATAGGTGAAACTTAAAGTAGACATAAAATAACATCTAAGAACACGGAGAGGCAGAAAAAGGGGATATGAGCTAAAACATATCTCCCTATCCAGGAGCCAACAATAAAACCCTCCAAAATCATCAACCTCAGCCTCAGACCTTATAAACAATTGATCCAAAGTGAATCATGGAGCCAGGTGTGGTGGTGCATGCCTGAAGTCCCAGGACTCAGGAGACTGAGGCAGAAGGATTATTATGAGTTTGAAATCAGCTTGGGCTGATTCAAAATGAGCTCAAGGCCAGCCTAAACTGCATGGTGAGAGTCTGTCTCCAAAAGACCAAAAAAAAAAAAAAGTGAATCTGGGCTTATATGCACAACTGTATGTAAAGCTATAAAACTCGTAGGGAAAAGTTGTCATAGCTTATGGCTGGACGAAGTGTACTCAGACATCAAAATCATGGCGCATGAAAGAAAAAAAAATCAACAAATTGAAATTCATCACATTTTTAAAAATTTTTAGAAGAAGGGACCAGGGAGATGGCTCAGTAGAATAAGCGCTTGCCTGGCAAGTGCAAGGGCCTGAGTTCAATCCCCGGTTCTGCAAAAAAAAAAAGTAAAGACACTTAAATTAAAAACTTTTGCTCTGCCAAAGACCCTATTAAGAGGATGAAACATGGGCTATAGATTGCAAGAATATAATTGAAACTCCTACCAAAGCCCTTGAACCCAAGTAAAAGAATCTTCGATTTTCAAAAGTAAAAACAATCCAACCAGAACACTGACGAAGAATGTGAAGGGACATTTCACTGCAGAACATTTGTAGACGGCAGATAAATACTCAGAAAGCTGTTTAACATCAGCCACCACACAGAACCACGCTGGAAAATCACTATGCACCTAGCAGAATGGCCAAAATGAGGGGAAAATGTGTTATTAAATACCAGAAGGGTTAAAATCGTGACAGAACTAAACACTAGAAATGATGAAAAGCCAAATCAATAGTACGTGACTGGTAAGATGCGTGATAGTGCAGCCAGCCTGGTAAACAGTTTACAGTTTCTTATAAACTAAGCGTGAAGTTTCCCTATGACTGTGCAATGTGACACTTAGATGTTCCTCCCAGACACGTAGAACCTCACACTACAATGTCCACAGTGGTTTTCTGCCAAAAACTAGAAAGAATTTAAAACCATTCAAGGGATGAATGATTAAGCAAACTATGTTATAGCCACACTATGAAATACTGAGTCACACGGGGCATGGTGGCACATGCCCATAATCCCAGCACTCAGGATGCTGAGGCAGGAGGCTTGCTGTGAGTTCGAGACCAGCCTGGGCTACAAGATGAGCTCAAGGCCA